GCGGCACCTGCCTCTGTCCCCCGAGGCCTGAGGTGCCACCGCCAGACCTACCCGCACCACCAGGTTTTTTTAATGTTACAAGAGCTGGAAATAATCGTATAAAACTCATATAAATATATATAATGTGTGTGTATATATATATATATATATATATATATATAAAATCATGCATGTCAGCACCAAGTTCAAATCTAGAAGTATTTTAGACACTTTCCAAGAGCTGGGGCCAGATCATGCAACGTTTTCATACCTCCCTGCCCGTTTTTGTCAGGCCAGAGCCCCACCGGGCCAGGGCCCAGCACCCGCAGATCAAGGCAGCCAAGGAGCCGTTTCTCGCAGCCTTTATGCTCTGGAGTCCTTCATTTATCAGCTCCTAGCGGATTAAAACCCAGCAGGGCTGCAGGCTGCGACCCGCGCCCCGCCGGCCTGACCGAGGCGCCCGGGGCCGCGCGCGCCGCGCCGGGACAGGGGAGGCTGCAGCCGGAGGCGGCCGCCGCTCGCCATGGCGGCCGCGCAGGGCCCCGCACGGCGCCGCCGCGAGGGGCGGGAGATCTGCCCGCCGCCCGGCCCCGGGGGCCGCGGCCGCCCCCCCGGCCGCGCAGACCCGCGCGGAGGGAAGGAGGGAGGGAAGGGGAGAGAGGAGGCGCCGCGCCCGAGCCCCGCACCTCGGCTCCGCCTGCCGCCGCTCTCCATCCTCACGCCCATGGTGGCGCCGCGGCCCGCGCGGGGCTCCGCGGCCGCCGCCCGTCCAGGCGCCGCTACCTCGCGTTCCCCGCCCCCGTGCCCGTTAATTCCCGCAGTTCGGCCCCTTCCGCGGCGGGGAAGAGCACGGGAGAGACTCTGGACGCTGAGGCCTGGGCCGGGGATAATGCACCCGGGCTTCGTCTAAGCACACTTGAAAATGCAGAGGAATCTGCCTCGTGGGGTTTTCCATGCGGTTCCGTGCTGGGAAATGGACACGATGGGTTGAGTAGCAGCCCTGGAAGCGGCGTATTGAAGCGCGCGCCTCTGTAGGAGCCTTCCGTGCGCTTGGAGCACGAGTTAGCGGCGGGTTTCTGCTTCCAAGGCAGGATGCCAGTGGTTAGAAAATATTGATGAGCCCTGAGATGTGCTTTCAAAAGCTGTGCTCTGTAAGACTGAGAACGTGCGGTCTGTAAATTGTTAGGCTCTGAACATGAGGAGAATTGGAGTTCTGGCAGCTAAAGCGATAGCTGTGCGAGTGCGTAGTTTCCTTCGAGTTTGGGTTTCTGCCTTTGCAATGGAGGAAAGAAGAATACTGCAGTCCGTAACAAGAATGTAGGAGTCCTGGCAATAGGTTAACTTGAAATCCTGCATTCCTCCATCCTTCTGCATTGATTCCTTGCCTCCTGTTTTCAGCAGCCCAGGCTATTTGCCTGCTTTGGAAAGAGAGCAGGCTTGAGAAACACGAGCAGATGGTTGTTGGTAACTGCCTCTCTTGAGGTGAAATCGTAGCTATGAGCGGGGGAAAAAATGGGTGAAACCTTATATATGTGTTTTCCTGCCAGTTTACACCGAAGAAGACTGGCTATGCAAGACAGTACCTATATCATGGTGCGCTTTTTAAGGTGCTCGCTTCATATGTGGCAGAGCAGCAGTAAATCTGACCGCTGTAAAGCGCGCCCGTGGCCGCTGCGCAGCGGCAGTGCCCGCTCCCAGCCCTGGGGCTGTTTGAGCTCCGTGTTGGTGGGAGCCGTGCCCGGCCCCCGGCTCGTGCTGTGCGGTTCTGCTGCTCGTTGCTCTCCCCGCGGAGAGCTCTGCAGCTGTGAGAAGGCAGCCTGCTCTGCTCCGCGGGGCCTCCGTAAGCGCTGCCCCGAAAGAGATTCCAGTAAGTGCCTCCGTAAGCCACGTGCGGCTATTTTGGGCCTACTGAGGTTTCAGAAGGCAGTCATGCGCATGCGCCAGGAACTTCGCTCCTGACACCGTTTAGACGAGAGTGGAGTTTTGTGAAGTAAATTGTAAATTAGGCGTACGGTCTATTATTAGTGTCATGATAATACGACTTGGCTGTCTGCTGGTTTCTCCAGCTTATTTAAGTCAAGAAGCTTTGTAAATTCTATTTAAGAAAATAATCAGTAATTCAGGTTAAGCCAGGTCCATGCTGTGTGAGTTCACCAGTTGTGTTTGGAACTGGCGCACTTAGCAAAGCTTGTGAATGCTTCCCAATAAGGCTGGTATAATTCGAAAACAAAAGCATGAAATATATAAAACACCGATGTATTAGATAGCAAACCATGCCAGAGAGCAGAATTTTCTACCTGTTTCCACCACAATCTGATCTAGATAATTTGACTATGAAATAGATTTCTCTCTTAAGCCTGAGGATACTTTTGATTTTAAAGCACTGGGGTTCCCTTTGTTGAGGTACTTTTTGCTCCCTGAAAGAATAGTGGAGTTTTGCCAGAACCTTGATTTTTAGCTCACTTGGCCTCGTCTTTGTGAAGTGACAGTTTGGCTCATCAGAGTTCTTTAATTGTTTAAGCAGTGCTGCAGCCTTTAACATTTTTTTTTCCATTTCTGGAAAAGTTTACACATACCAAGCTGTGTTTAATAGCCCAGTGTGCCCGTTGAATAACCCATGTTCCTAGGGCCCTATGGTTTCTCCTGAATTCCGGTGGCGCGGAGGCTTGCTCTGCGCGGCAGGATCCTGCTGGGGGCTTATCCGCTCAGCAGCAGCCCTGGGCTCCCAGGGGAGCGTAACGGTGTGGATTTCAGAAGCTCATCAGGCCCCCGGGGGAGCCAATCCGCCCCGGCTGTGTAAGCAGCCGGTGCTGCCGCGCTCGCCGGCCTGGCGCTCCGCGGGGCTCGGGCCTGAGCCCTGCTGCAGCAGCAGGTTCTCATGCACCAGGATTGGCCGCTTGGCACGTGAGAGCGTGTTTGAAAACAGGGCTGTGCGTTTGGGTAACGGGCTCCTCAATGAGAAGCGTTTAGCACAGGAGCTCATCTCGCCCTGTCCTGGGCCTGCCCGGATTGCTCAAGTGGCAGAGAACAAGTAGAGGCCATTTTGTGTCTGCTTAACAAGCCGGAATTGTAAATACTGAGCATTTATTACCATGCAGGAGAATATTCTTCCCCTTTTTTCAGTGAAATAGAGCATAGGCAGAGGCTAGATGAAGGTAATCACAGTTGTTAGATTTGTAGAAGTTGAGATTTCTTGCTTATTTTAGCTTTATCATGCCCAAACCCCAAATAGTAAAATCATGGGATTACATTTCATGCCAATTTAGGACTGTGTTTGCATTGTTTCACTCCATGGTAACCGGAAGCCGGCGCATCCATAGAAGACAGTGGCTCATAGAAATGCAATCCAGGCGGATCCCTGGGCTGCGGCGGGCCAGGCATCCGAGTTCATGCCCCTCAGGAATCAGAACTTGCCTTTCTTTACATCGCTTCAGATGCGGATTTGGGAAAAATAACGTGATCTCAAATGTGAAAGTGAATGCAGAACGTCGCAGCAAATAACCTAGTGTCCTGACCTTGTGCTTAGTTAAAAATAAATTAAAAGGTCATTTTTTTGGTGCCAGAATTGAGTTGTGTGATGCAGAAATGATCGTTTCTAAGGTGAGTTATCTGTTTTTGAGGACACAAAGAGCTTATCCCCATAAAGTACTGCTTAGAGGACGCAACTGGAAGGGGATAGTGTTCCAAGTGAAGTTTGGTTTCATTTTTCCCCAGCCGCGGTCAGTCTTCCTCCAGCTCGGCAGCGCAGCCCGTTGGTGGCAGCTGCGAGCGAAGAATCGCGGAGCAGTCGCGCAGCGGAGGCCTGGTGCAGCGGCCGGAGCGGCGCCTTGCCGGGCACTAGTTGGCACTGCCCAGAGCCACCTCTGCCGTTTGCAGCCCTGCGGAGAGCAGTGACAGCCCTGAGGAGCTGGGAAGCAATCGGAGGTTGTGCTGATTGGGACAAAGAAATTAAACCCATTTGAGTGCAGTTGCTCCCTGTGCCTCGTTTTAAAACAATTTTGTTCGTATCCTTCCCTACCAAAGGGACAATTTTCTCCTTGTGACCTTTTCTTTCAACTATGTGGGAAAATATTTAGTATGTTCCTCCCCTTTTGTATTCTTGTAAGAATAAAGTTTTCTTTTTTTGCGAAGACCTGGTGGTACGCACTGCTTTGATAGGAAGGGAAATCCATGATTTTATCTGCAGATATGTGTCATCCAGCAGTTTCGTAGCCTGTTGTGATTTATAGCCATACAGGTTTCTCTGACAGCACAAGAGGCAATGACTTGGGGCAGACAAAGCAGAAGAGAATTAGCTCTCAAGAGAATTAACATTAGTAATAGTGATAAGGATGTTAACTTGTGCCTTTACAGAGGGTTATATGTCCAAATACTTTTGGCTCTCTGCTTCTGTACTTTTTTTTCCCCCAAGTTATTGTAGCTGATATCTCCTGTAGGATTATGCATGAGATCACTTTCCTGAGTTAGAGATCTGTGTATGAACTGCAATTCCGGTTACGTATTTTGAGGACACCTTTGTTACTAGGGAAGAATTTGGGAAATGATGTTGGGGTGAATGACTGAAATCTAAAATAATCTGCTTTTTTTTTCCCAGATTCTTGGTTTAAATTTAACCTTTTTTTCCCCTTTTTTCATTTAGGTGAGAGTTCAACTAATTCTGATAAAGCATTATTCAGAAACATAATTGATGGGAGACTTACATAAGGTAGGTAAAGAGTCTGAAAGCCCTCTGTGCCAGTGAGCATGGCAAGCCTGCAAGCTGTAAGTGCTACAAAAATGCCACGGAGGAGTGTATCTAATCACCAGTGTATCCTTAAAGGCAAGACTGGGAGAACTGTTTCTGTACATGATTGCCTCCTCTTTTCTTCTTCTTCAAGAAGCATAGATATGGAAAATCTTAAGTGGGCAGTTTAAACAGAAGTCCAATATTTCTGATTACTTAAGACTCTTATTTTTCCATTTCAAGTGAGTTCAGAGCAACATCTTGTACTGCTGCAGGGTAAAGCTTGCTGACTAACTGGTTTTACACAGCTGGTTTAATCTGTCATGCTTTTGGACTGCTCTTTTAAAACAACAGCTTTAGTTGGCTTCATTTCAGTATATTGACAGTTGTTAAACTTCCTGACACAGGAATGTTATTTTCACTTTCTAACCTAACGGGAATATTCATGCTAGTCATACTGCTGTGGTCACTTCTTTGATTTGCTCCTTGGTGGAAGTGACAGATCTGTCTCCTTACATTGGGATGGAGAATTTTTAGCTCAGCTTTGCTCTGAACGCGAAGACAAAAGTAAAATGCTGACAAGATCAGGTACTACTGTGATCTCCAGGAAGGAGAGGGGACATTGCTTGGTTCAGTCTGGAATGTAGTGCCAACTTCAGTGCCTTGGTCAGAAATAGCAGTTCAGTCCCCTTGCTGCTCCCTTTTCTAAAGCCCAGGGAAAGTTCCATAGATTTCGGCTGGGAAGAGCAAGTGTCCTGTCTCGTTAAGCCAGCATGGGGCGACGGGGGCGCATTGCAGGGCGCCCCGCAGCCGTGTGCTGCTGCGAGCTGCCTCTTGGCTGCTCTCCCCGCAGCAGGCTCGACAGGTGCTGCTGGCAGGTGCTGCCTGCACTGCAGATCCTTCCTGGGAATGAATGCAAGGTATGGGAAGTATCCAGTTGGAGCACATGGCCTAGAAGAGAATAACTGTACTCATTCTTTGCCAGAAACACCTCTGATAAACACAGATTGTCCTCACACTTTGTAGAATTTTGTTTAGAATTAAGTAATATTTTTCCATTTTTAGAGCTCAGGATGAATTGTAGTCTTGACTGAAGCAGAATTCATTTGTGCAGTGATAGTGAAGGCTGTTGTGAGCAAACAAAGTAACAGTTTTAACTGTTTCTTCCTGTACTAAAGTGCTGCTGAACATGAAATTGATGACAAGAGACCCAAGCAGGAAGGTGTTCTGTAATGAGCTACTGTCGTGTTTACTCTGTGTCTTACTACAAAATAAACTCCTTGTTAAATGCTAGTCAGAAAGGAGAAGGTGAAAGTTTATTTAGCTGCCACAGCTGTGCACAACTTCCTACAGGAGGCTTTACAAAATATTGTAGGTAGTATTTACAAACTATTTTACGAAGCTTGGCAGCAGTGTGCACATTTCTAAGGTGTGCACATAAACTGTTCCACTTGTTACAGAATGTCCTAGGGTTTATGCTCAGGGTGTTGTAGGCAAGGGAGATACTTTGGAGGTTGGGATGTATTTGCTGAAAAGGTCTGAAATAGTGAGTATTGCTTGAAGGACTTCAGAAAACGAATGGAGGATGGAAAAAGACAGTAAAGGAGGTAGCCCAAGCCAACTGGAAATAGGAAGCAAATTCCGGGAGGAGGGGAAGGAGGGGTAAGAACATTATGAAAATTAGAAATGTTCTTTGCTTGACCCATGTCTTGGCATATGGAAATGTTCTTTACAGTGTTCTGGAATATGAAACTCCTGGGCTACAAGCTGTGCTTCAGTAGAAAGCTTTGAGCACGTCCCTCATTTTTCTGTAACTGGAAAAAGGCTAACAGTTCTTAATGTTAACCAATACAAAGATAATGGCAGAAATATTTAAAACGTTGGTGGTTTTTGCCTTAAAAATATTAAACCCTGACATAGTCTTACTACAGTCTTCGGTGAGGCTAGAACTCATTTCGTATTCCATAGCAAGTATAATCTTCAAATAACCTTTGAAACCTTTTATTCTGTAAAAGAACGTATATGAAAGTTTTTTTTTTTTCCATGCATTTTCTTCTCATTTCAGGTTTGTTTCTGATTTCATAATTGGCAAAGCTGAGATAGTGAATCCTGACTGTTGAAGGGTGCATGGTGTGAATCTTTTCACGCAGGTAGGTGCATAATAGAAAATCTGCAAAAATGATAAAACTGACTTTCTTGAGATTTAGGATATGCCCTTATTTTACTTCTAATGTAAGCATACTAGTTAAAATGTTAACTAAATTCTTTTTTTATTCATACTGCACAAAGGAGTTCATGTCATGTTTTACTTAAGGAGATTTGAAGAAAAAACTCAGCAATATATCTGGGAATATTGGAGTTTGTATTGCCATCTATTTGGCATCTGCGATTGATCATAAGATAGATTTTGTGAGGCTGCATTGTATTTTGCAGCAAAAACAGCATGGTTGTACATTAAGATGGGTATCATTTGACAGGAAAGTGAGATGCTGCTGCTTTATGCCCAGAAGGTAGAGGGAAGAATGAATGTGAAAAGTATTGTCTGAACAGAAGTGATTTAGGAGTTTGCGGTGATTATTTTGTCCTTTTTTAGGGGATAACATTTTCAGTGTAAAGAGTTTAATTTCTGTGGAAGAAATTTTATTTATTTATTTTTCTTAAGTTTTGTCAGAAGTCTTAAAACTTGTAAAACATTAACTTCCTTGACTCTGTTTCATGACAAAAGTCTGCTTTCTGGGCAAAGTCCATTGTACTAGCTTCCTCTTCCATTTCCCCCCCGACTTTGGTTGATGGATTGCAATTAGAAGATTTAAAAACAGAAGGCAAGATTTTAACCTTGAAGCAATCCCCAGATTTAGAAAAGTGGTTTAGAGAAAGCCTTCTAGCTGCAGGTTCTGCGTAGGTTATCTCAAAACCTGCTCATTTGTCAGTAAGGCTCATTAGAGGAACCCTCCTATGAACAGAGTCCCAGAATTGATGTTGCTTAAAGATATTCATCTAAAATAAATTGCTTGTAACTTTTGTAACTAGTGAAAGTGCAACGGGAATAGCTGCAGTCTGGGACATCTATGTTAACTTTTTGTACAGTTCTTAAAGTAGAAATGGCTCTTTCCAGAAAACTGCTCTCAAAAGCTGCTGCTAAATGTCAAAGGATTGACTCTGGCCTTTGTCTTTGGCAGGTTAACCGAGTTGCCTGCAGCTCCTGCGTCCTGTTTGGACAAGATATTTAGAAATCAGGCTTTTATATCGGGTACTTGCCTTTGGTCACTAATGTCAGTGATTTCAGATCTGGCTTCTAGAAAACAACCATTTCTATGTCTGTGTGATATAAGAGAATTTAGCCAGCTAATTTGGGATAAAATTGCTGTTTCTTCAGATGCAGTGCTTGCTGAGTTATACTGTATGTGATGTGTTCTAGTTTTTAGGCCAAAGTAGAAGCTGTGAAGTGCCTGTTTCCCAACAGTATAATGTTTTACTAAAAACTTAAATTCACCTTGCTCTGATCAGTACTTTTATCAGTATTTTTAGACATTAGACAATAATACTCCCAAGATCTGCTGGGCGGCTTATAGCCAGGCCTTGCGAAGAGACACACTGGAAAGCAGTTTCAAAACATCCTAGGACGTGGTTCCAGGAGCACAGATCCATCAGATGCATGCAATCCCCGCTTTTCTCGCGTGCTGGGAGAAGAGACTTGTCCTGTGGCAGGGAACAATTGTGTCCCTTTAAAGGCAGAGGTGGAGTCAGTGCCATGAGCAGGCAATTTTGTAGCTGTAAGCAGGAAGGAAAAAGGAGACCTGTGGCTGGCAGGCAGTTCATGGGGATTCTCCATAGCACTGTGTGAAGGCTCCTGCTCTGGAATCGGGCACATTTTACCTTGCAACGCTTCCTGAAGCAGCTTCCCGCCACACATGTGGGGACCTGTAGGTATGTGTGTACATCGGGGCAGAGCAGCGCGGTCAGGGGAGAAACTGAAATAGAAAGGTGAGGTAAGTGAGAAAAGAGTAAGGTAAGTGAGAAGCCACAGCTGCTTTCAGAATTCCATCTTTCAGTTTCATTTAGAAGCATCTCTATAAAATCAGGGTGCTCTGTAGGAAGTCTTAGCAGAATAGATTCCTTCAGAACTTTTTTTTTGGTCGTTGAAGAGCTCCGCGTGTTTTATCTCAGCAAGTAAATCATTAATTCTTGGAAAGGCTAAGTGGTTGCTGCGATAAGTTTACAACTGTAGTGTTAACATTACAGAACTGAAATGACTCCATTATTTATTTAACCTTTTGAGTGCTGATAGAGCACAGAAACTTGGTTTCTCTCCTAGCAGGAGTTATCTCACATGTTAGGAATGAATCAACTTTAAAAAATATTGGCAAAGATTAAAAATAGCTTCGAAGGCATGAGAGCTCTTGGCACACATACCAGACTGATGTTTGGCTAGTAAGTGCTCTGGATCAAAGCAAAATCCTGAGGATTCCTTAAACAATTAGAAGCAAACAATACTTGTGTTAAGCTCTGTTCTGAGGCCTTCTCGGGACTTTTTGACTCTACTCCTCAAAGAGGTTCAACCTTGAAATCATGTTTTGGGACATACTGTCTTTTCTGGCAATAGCTGAGGCTTCGAGCTAGCTCGAGAGCAACAGGAGTGTTTGTTTCCCACCATGCAGCGTTTCAGGAGCTGCCTGGTTAGCACTGCACTGTGCTGGGGGTGTTCAGGGGAAGGCTTTCACCAGCAGGAGTTGTGTGGGGGCAGCAGGTAGTGGTGCTGGAACCCCCTGGGTGGTGGTTAGCTCTTCATTAGTGCAGCTGTGGCTGTGGTTCTTGAGGTGCAAGCTGCTTACCCTGTGCCCTAGCAGACCTGCTCTAGGCTTGTTCTTCCTGGAAAATGAATTCGTATGCAAGAAGATATAATTGAGGAGTCATTGTGAAAGTCCTAAGTTTTAATAGTACTTGTCTATTAAAATATCTTAACCACTATAGATTAGCTTGCCTAAATGTAGTTTACAAATGGCAATATGTTGAATTGTAGCTTGCTCCTAGACGCAAAGCTCTACTGAAAATTACGGAGTTTATTGTATATATTTGTAATCTCCTTATGGAATGTAGGTTTTTGCTGGCTTTGTTGATATCAAGGCCCCTGGATTTGATTGCGAGTGGTTCTCTGGTTCAAAGATTACAGTTTAGATCATGTTCCTTCTACTCTTGTTATGAATCTTCCTACTGATCAGTTGTTCCCATTACCGTTTGCTCTTTATGATTCTTTTCCAGGTTTTTCTTTACTGTGCTGAACTTTGATTGCTTTTGGCCAATGGATTTTGGAAATGTTGATGTTTCAACAGATGTATTTAGTTAAAAAAAATTAAAATTGAAAAATAGTCTTTCCACACATTCTTTTCCTGAAAAATGGCCATCCACAAGAACATTTCTTCTGCTCCGCGTAGTGTTTGTTGATTTATTTTTTAAATCCCTGATGCTGTTTATTTTTAAATAAATAATAGAACAGGAAACTATTTCTTCCATGCTTTCTAGTATAGACTGTATTCAGATACTTCGGTTTTCTTGGTATATCCTCTTTAGTATGGTAAAAATGAAGTGGAGCATGTAACAGGATTTTTAAAGAAGAGCGTACTTTCCATCTCAGGAGGATATCAGCTCTCCTGAAGAACGACCCGTTGCTCCTGCAGGTGCCCAGGGCTCTTCCTGGAAGTGCTCCGATAGTATTTGGAATATTCAGTAATGATACCTGTAAGCTGGTGCGTGGGAGCAGCTGGAAGTTCAGGTTGTCCACGGAAAGGGGATAGTAAAAGGTTGGATCTACAAGAGTTGGTTCTGAAAGTTAAATTCAGACCATGTAAAATCTCAGCTGTGTATCTGGAATTGTCTCCATTTGTGGTATTATTCTTTGTACTCTATGTACGACTCCACAGCATAAGTAACACTGCATGAAACAGTGATGAATCAGCAGGGTAACAAATACTCAGTAACTTAAATTTTGCTGCTGAACATGCATAAATACAGACAAAGGTGTAAATAGTTGACACTGTTCTTTTTTCCCCTCACCTATGTCAAGTTTTACTGGGGAGAGGTTTGGGGGGTTGGAGAAATTCACCAGGAACTCAAATAACTCCCGCTAGAAATTCATGAAGAATTTCCTGGTAGGGAATTCAACTATAAAAATTCATGAAGGACTATTACTATTCCTGTCTATGCAAATCAGAACGATCCATGATGCTTCCTGGAAAGCTGATCCATTGCTTCTCTCCAGTCTGTACTCTTGTATTGACACTTTCAAAGATGGTTTTTTTTTTTGGCTTTTTACTTGCTTTGCAAGTGGATCAGTTTCTTGCTCTGGTTCATAAGGGGAGGAATAAGCAAGTGCAGCATGGCATTGGCTATGCCCAGTTGTGTTTATTCACCCCACCAAACTCCACACGGTGCTGTAACAGAATTCCTCTGCTTCATAGTTTTCTTAACATGATCCGGCTGTGCTGCCGCTAAAGGTAGAGTTCCCCCCGCCTCGGATTTCTCCGCGTGTTGGCTCCAACACGGAGCACTCAGATCAGCGCGTCGTCCAGGCTGGAATATGAGGGGTGTTTTTGTGGTGTCAGTTTTCTGTCACACTGCACTGCTCCAACTTGCTCTCTGCTTGTATAATCCATGCCAAGGGGAATGCGGGAGCTCCCCCCTTTCCCTCCATGTGGTTTTAAATATTCCAGATGTGGATTCTGTCCACTTATAAAATAACGTGCTAAGAGGTAAGCGTCTGCTGAGACTGGGCCAAAGTCATTGTCGGTTTTTCATGCACAAGTCACATTATGTTGCAGTGATACTGTCATCTCTTAGTCTTGTGACAATTTGCGTGAAGGAACAGAAGTTCGTTCCCATGGTGGCGTGAAGCCTCTTAAATGCAAAATAAATTGCTTTGGATGTTGCGAGTGAAACCTCTGTGATGTTTGAGGACAATTGTTCTCAAATTCCTCACCTACTTATGGAATGGTAAAATTCCAGGCTTTTTCAGCCCGCTGCGGAAACTTCAAGTTTCTAGGAAGGTAATGGGCAGAGCAGGGGAGCCCTGTGCCCTCAAATGAGGGCCTGAAGGGTTGGCCATTCAAGCTGAAGAGCTATCCTGAAACCAACAGGGAATCCAGAGCTGGAGCATATTTTGCAACATGATCAAATTTTGAGTTGTAAGGAATTTTGTTTATGGCTGGATGCAGTGATTAAATAGGTCAACTATTACTGTAGTTTCAGAGCACTGTAACTGTGGGGCAGAAATGGCGCTAGGCTCCTCTGAGCTGGCACTCTGGTATGCTGGGTTTGTGTCGAGCCCTTTATGGAAAAGAGGTCACAAAAGGAGGTCGCTTCTGACATGAAGAAGGGAAAGTTGGAAGGTGCCGGTGTAAAGCCTTGGACTTGTCGATATCCCAAAAAAATAAAATGCCTAGTACAAGCCAACCTGAGCAGCTGAAAAAGAGCAAGCTGAACTTCATCTAGGACGCGGTGGGACCTGCAGCTGCAAACAATGTGAAAGACCATGCTTAAGTTAATGGATATCTTTTATTTTGTCCTGAATGTTTGTCTTTCCTCTGAGGCACAGCATAATGAAAATCTTTCAGAAAGTCATGCTCACAGATATAGAACTTGTTCTTATAAGGTAACAGATTAGATAGTAGTATAATTGAAACAACTGTGTGATCAGACTGTGTGCTTAAGATATTTTTAAAGGGGCTGTTTAACTTTTTCTGGATATATTCCTGAAAATAGTACAGGTAATTCATTTATTATTGCAGTTATGTCAAGTCACTTAATGCTACGACTTAATCTCTTCTGTCTTTAGTATTTGAATGACTGGGTGAATATTTGGAAGGACTTCTGAATTATTTTGGCTGCAACAGAACTCCTCACTGGATGATGTGCTCTTGTAATTGATCGTAGCAACTGCATAAGCCACACAAGCAAATAGAACATGTATGCCCAGGACTTAATCTGGAGGTTCATAGCTAGACAGATCTGTACAAGTGGCGTTGTGTTCAGGTATCTTGGATTATCATTTTTGTTTGTGATTTCTTCCGAAAATTTAAAGAGAAGATTTTTTTGATGGTAAGCCTCCTTTCTTTTTTTCATTGTTCTTTTAATAGTGGCAGCTGGCTGTTTTGATAGTGCTGTGGTTGAAATTCAATGGTTTGTCTTGTTCAAGGTCCTTTTGCTCTTGCTAACAAAATGGCTTCTTCCTATTCTTTATTATTATTATTATTATTATTATTGCATTAACTTGATGTTTTAATTGTAGCACTCACATTTGTAATTATTCTAGATTAAAAGCTTTTATTTCCTTTGCAGATTTCCTTTTTAAATTGGGGAGGAAAAAAAAGTTATTCTGAGCCCAATTCCATTTATCTTTTATTAGGCAGACAGTTCAAACATTCCTATTGGCAGTTTTATCAAGCTTCAGTTCACTTCGTAGTTCCAAACTGCCAGATGCTGCCTGTTCTTTCAGGTCTACGGTATGACTTCATTTTTCAGAGACACCGTTTCCCTGTTTCCTTCAGGTGTAACTGACAGGTGATTGCAAAGATGTCTAAAACTAACAAATCCAAATCTGGCTCCCGTTCCTCCCGTTCGAGATCTGGATCAAGATCACGCTCCCGATCCTTCTCCAAATCTCGGTCCCGGTCTCGCTCTGTGTCACGGTCGAGGAAGCGCAGGCTTAGGTAAGTTCACGTGGCTCCGCGTCAGAGGGTGTAACAGGCTGTTTTTCCCATCTCTGTGCTGCTCAGATGGTTTGTCACTTAGTGCTTTTCCATGAAAAGACCTTTCTCAGATCCTAGAATTCATAGTGTCCTGTGCCTTGGGCTGCTTCCTGCCAACCTGTACACTTTTGGAAGTGTTCCTAATGAGCAGAAGAATGAATTGTCTGTTTCTCTGCATTGCCAAAGAAGTTATTCTTTTTAACCTAGCTGTTGTTTGAGATCCCCACAGTGTAGGGCAAGGTGCAGAACTCAACTCTTTATGATAAGATGAACTCCTAAGGTGTGGGGTTTTTCTGTTTGTTTGTTCTGTTCCTCTTTAGCAGACTTGAAATGCATTTGATCTTACATTAGCAAAGCAAATGTAAGTGGTAGTGAGAGTATTTGAGTTCCTCTTCCAGCGTCGGAACGGGGAAGAATTGGACTGGTATAATTATGTTCAGCTTTTTTTTCACTAATCTTAAATGAATAACAGTTCTGAAAATCATTAGGCTGTAAACACATGCAACTGTTAACAATTAAAGATTTTCAAAACGCAGAGGCTGTAAGAAACGTAGAGTTGGGGAGGGAAGGACAGGACAAAACCAAGTTAGAGGCGGAGACTTGAGTCAGCAAGCCGAGTTGGTGCAGAAGGAAGCTGCAGTGCTGGAGGCCGGGTCGTCGCTCGCGATGTCTGCCTAGCTGAGAAGCAACTTTGGCCCTGGGGATGAAGGCACCCTGCCCGTACCAGGGCGTCTGTGCTGCTGCTCAGCCTGCTTGCACTTTGTGATAGCAGCTTAAAAGAATGGAGGGGCTTAGTACAGACAAACCATCCTGCGTGGAGTTAGCGTGTTCCCTGAGGTAGGTTCAATGCATTGTTTTAGCATAAAAATCCATTCTGGTGTATTTGAGTGTGCCTCATGAAAACGATTTTACTCTTAGTCTTCATTCCAAAGGCTTATGGTCTGTTCTAGGTGTTCCCCATGGCATTCTCATATTTGAGTCTACCTAATGTTCCTTAATTTACTATATGGGTGGGTTTTTTTTTTTTTTTTTTTTTTTTTTTTTTTTTTTGCATTTTTATGCATTTGAGACAGTGAACTCAGAGCAGTGCATTTTAACCAGCTAGCTACCAGAGATTGCCAAGCTTGGGAGAGATATCACTACTTGCTGTTTCTTTTGCATGGCACTTTCTGTATTTTCTAAAATTATTTCTGGTAGCAAGTCCTTGCAGCCTCTGGAGTGAGGCTTTTCTCGTGCTGCAAGCCCCTAAACTGACCAAATAGAGTTTGAAAGCAGCGTACAACAGGTCCCACACTGCTAATTGGTAACAAATGCAGTAGTTGTCTGCAAATGGGAGTGCCTGTGTTCTGCTTAGTGCTTTTGAATAGGATTTCTCTTTTAATTGGTTCATTCTTGCTGTCTGCCCTTGCCTTGCCTCCTTGCTTGTTGCTGGGTTTTGATTGAAGAGGTGTCCAGGGTAAGTTGCTAGATTTGTTTGGTTATTTCAAGTGAAGGAAGTTGTTCCTAATGTTAAAATTATCATTAAACAGTTTGCTAGCAAAAACTGTAAGAGCAGTAAATTGTTTCCTGGTAGGGTCTAACATGTTTGATGGCCAGAAAAAAATAAAAATAGATCTAAAGTTCAGCTTAACTGCCTGTATGTGCATTAACACTTTGGGAATTCCAGTGGCAGGATTTTTATTAGGTTAAACTTTGGGAGTGGGCAGGGGAAAATAGGGAAGAGCAATGAGTTCTGTGTATTGCCAGTCTGGAAAAACAGAGGGTGGAAGGATGTGTGTCTATTAGAGTATGAGCAGTGGGTGTGTTAGAGCTGACTTGGATCTCTCTTGATGCAAGAAGTAAATCTGGAAATAACAGCAGTAAATATTACTTACTTGCATTCATTTTGGAAAGTTTTTTCCCTGTTTAAACCTACTAGTTTGGACATTTTCTGTTCTACTAAGGCAAAAATCTCAGCCTTCCAACAGAACTTTATAGTGAGATATTTACTGTAAAGCTGGCTTTCAGTCCTGAGCTACGTGGTGCTTTCAAACAGTATTCAACTGCAGTTCCAAAAAATGTACTGGAAAGGACTAATGAAACAGCCCTTAATGTTATGCCCTTTAAATCTGGAATCTTACAGGTTTTCTACTTAGGTCTTGGATTCCATTCTGTTCTTTCTTACTAAGCTGTGCTCTTGGAAGCAAGCAGATGGGACGCTGAGCAGTGCCACCTCGTGGCACGAGGCTCGGGAGCGAACGCGCGACCTGGGACTGCGGCCTCGCTTTATTTGATGGAGTTCCGGGCTCTGCCCTGCAGCAAAGGAGGCACCTTTGGAAGCTTTGCCTGTAGAGCAGCGCACCGCTCGCTCTAGTCCTGCTGCTCTCTTTGAGGTGTTTTCATTCTTTTAACTCATCTGGCAAAGAAGTGGGGTTTCATCCTGATCATCAAGATTTCAGGAGCATATGAAATAATTGAGGGACACAAGAAGGGGAAGATTTGGATCTGTTCCAATTACGGTAGCATGACCTGCATTGAGAAATGCTGCTTTGTGCCAGATGGGATGTGACTTTGGCCTTGAGCTGTAAGAGCTTGAAATTTGAGACATGCCACTTTCTTGAAGGTGGGTAGCAGCCGTGTTCATCCTGGAAAAAAAAAAATAAAAAAAAAAAATAAAAAAATGCAAGTGGAAATTATTTCCATGGCAGTTTGCTGAGGACAAAGTGTAGCGCTTCAGTTGGACGAGGAAAAAAACAAATATTTTTAAAGCTTAAAAAGAGGTAAATGTAAAATTAACTTTTGTAAGGATTCAAATAAAATTTTGAGAGAGGAACAAGCTTGAAAATACTGCATACTTTTCTCTCTCCCTCTCTCCCCTCCCGCCCTCTCTCTTTTCTCAGTTCTAGGTCTCGCTCCAGGTCCTATTCTCCATCTCATAACAGAGAAAGGAACCATCCAAGAGTGTACCAGAATCGGGATTTCAGAGGCCATAATAGAGGATACAGGAGACCCTATTATTTCCGTGGCCGTAATCGAGGGTTTTATCCATGGAGCCAGTATAACCGAGGAGGGTATGGAAATTACAGGTCAAACTGGCAAAATTATCGTCAAGCGTATAGCCCTCGTAGAGGGAGGTCACGTTCTCGCTCACCCAAGAGAAGGTCTCCTTCACCAAGGTCTAGAAGCCATTCTAGAAACTCTGATAAGTCATCATCTGATCGGTCAAGGAGGTCTTCCTCTTCCCGATCCTCCTCAAATCACAGCAGAGTGGAGTCTTCCAAGCGTAAGTCTGGAAAGGAGAAAAAATCATCTTCCAAGGATACCCGTGCGTCTCAGGCGGCAGGAGATACTCAAGGCGATGATTCGAAGGAGCAAACGTTTTCAGGAGCGGCAGCTCAAGACACCAAGGCCTCTGAGGGATCAAAACAGTGGCAAGATGTGAGCACCTATGGCACAGGTTCAGCGTCGAGAGCTGCTGGGCCTGAGCTTAGCCCGCGGGAGCGCAGCCCTGCCTTGAAAAGCCCTCTGCAGTCGGTCGTGGTAAGGCGGCGTTCCCCGCGGCCCAGCCCGCTGCAGAAGTCGAGCCCCCCGCTGTCCGGCCAGTCGCAGCTGAGCTCTGCTTTGCCAAGCAGCACCTCCTTTCAGGCCGCTTCCCACCAGAGTCCCTTTGAGCACGGCTCTGGGGGGCTGAGCCCAACAAGGAAGAGCCCGGTGTGCAAAAGCCCCACGCCGCTGGGTTCGGTGTACAGCGCGGCTCAGAAGGAGGACAGTGCGGCTCCCGGAGGAGGAGCCTTCTCCAAAAGGCAAGTGGTGCGTTGGGCCGCTCCGCGTTGGCCGCAGGCAGCCCCTGTGCGGTGCTGGCAGCAGCCAGCCTGCTGCTTGGGCCGGGCACAAAATATAACCTGGGCCTAACCCTCTCTTGAAGCAGGTGGACCATTTTCTGGCTTAACTTGGTAGTTACAAAGATTACGTAGGTCCTCTGTGGAACAGCTTCTAGCTTAAAGTGTAGATGTGCCCAGTGAGATTTAATTTTTTTTTGCAGCCTAACTGCACAGTAGAAACTTAACAGAAAAATAGAAAGCAGACATTAAAGGATTCAAACTATTGCACTATTGACTCACTTTTACTAACAAATGAGTGGTCAGCCTCATCTTTTAAGTTAATGTTATTGTCCGGCTGACGTTCTTGAATTGCATTAGATACAGATTGGCAAAAAGGAAAAAAAGATATGATTGCATGTCCTGCTGCAAGCAGCCTGTGACAGATGCAGCTGTGCTGCATGTGCCACTGTTAGTGGGCAGTGTGATAAACCAAGCACCAAGTTCATTACTGGGATTGGAAGACCTTCCACATAGAAGGCATCAGTTCACTCTAATCCTGTTTGCTTGCTCGTTCCATAATAGATCAATACCTTAAGGTGACCCTCTGTTTCGAAAGACACAGTGGCATTCACAAATGATATTCAGTCTTTTTACTTAACATTTTTTTAAGTTATTTTGGACTGATTCACAGATCAAAGATCTCTGAGTTTTGAAAACTACTTCACTTTAGACTTTCTGGAGCAGAGAACTAATGTCCTTTTCTGCTGTTTCCACAAAGTGGGGATTTTGCTTTATAAAAGCTTTAAAATTCAGTTCTGGTGCTTTAAATTAGTTTGGTCAAAACTACAGTTCTCACCAAGTCTTTTGTTTTCTCTCAGCAAAATAATAATTTTTCTCCTTTTAACCTTTTTGCTTCTATTTGTATTTACAGTCTGTCATGAAATATTTAGCTTACCTAAGAAACTTGCATCCAAAATTTGAAGTAGCTTTTGAGGCTTTTATTCCCAGTGTGTTGTTTAAAACAGAACAGCCCAGGTTGAAAGTTTTGATGTATTATTCTCCTGAACCAGGTTTGTAAGTAACTGAACTGATTGGGTAAGATGTTACTCTTTTCCTTAAAATCAGTCTACAGATGAGCTGTTTTTATCTGTTCCACAGCCTCATCTCATTAGTTCTGCATATCCATTTTCTTCTACATTTGCTGAATTTATTGTGAATGTAAAGTTGAAATCAAGGTTGAGCTGCCTGCTTTAGCACTGAACGGTTATGCCCCTAAAGATTACTTTCTGTATATGTGTAGTTTGGTACTTTCTAAAGGTGAATTACTGTAATATTTGTTGTATGACTAGGTATCTGGAAGAGCAGAAGACTGAGAATGGGAAAGACAAGGAACAGAAAATAACAAATGTTGAAAAAGAAAAATCAAAAGAAAAAGGGAGTTTCTCTGAGTTGGGATCGACAGATGGAAAGGCAAAATCTGACTCCTACGCTTCCAAAACTGACTCCGAGAAGGGATACCGTGGCAGTCAGTCACCCAAACGCTATAAGTTCCGTGATGACTTTGAGAAGGTAAAGGAGTTCCATAAGGAAAGTCACTACAGCAAAGAGGAAGGAGATGAGCAGGAGAAGAAGGACAAGGCCAAGGGCCGAAAAGATTCCGAATTTGAGGAGGAGCCCAAATTTATGTCCAAAGTGGTAGCAACAACTAGTAAAGGCCAGGATGAGGATCGGCCAGGAAAATGGGAAGGCCTAGTGTTCCTACCACCTGGAAAAGAGAAGCAAAGGAAAGGTGATGAAGCAGAGGAAGAAAACTATTCTGAGAGATCTAAGAAAGAAGAGAGACCAGCCTCCAAGCGAGCTGAACCAGGTCACAGGGGATTTGTCCCTGAAAAGAATTTCAGAGTGACCACTTACAAAGCAAGCCAGGAAAAAAGTTCTTCCCCACCACCAAGGAAGACTTCAGAGGTGAAGGAGAAGCCAGGAGCCAAAGGAGATGGACTGGCTCCTGGCAAATCCTCCTTTTCCATTACCCGTGAGGCCCAAGTCAATATCCGAATGGATTCATTTGATGAAGATCTCGCACGGTAAGTGTTTGTGACTGTGACAATGCAAATAGCAGGCTCAGCTGCCTGTTCCTCTTCAGCTTTTGGTGTTTACCCGTTTGGGGGAAGGCTAAACAAGATTTGCAGCACAAGCTGCATTTGCAGTGATAAACCTTACACTTCTTCTGGTATTAAAATACTTATATGAACCCTGTGTGTGGTGGAGGATTTGCCGATGATGGAAGATGAAGGTTAAATAACTTCTGTCTTCTTTCTAAATTGGTACAGGATTGTTTTAGAATATAAATGTGTCTAGATTGCACTTCACAGTGCACTGGTGTGAGAAAATGCTTCAGTACTTGCATGTTCTTGCTGCTATAGCCTCAGTACATGAATGCTACAGCACAGTTTAAATGATCTGTACTTCCTTTGGAGAGCGTTTTGCTGCTTTATTCCCAGCATAGTGTTGTTGAAACTCCACAAAGATTTGAGCCACTTCAACGTTGTTTTAGGAAATCTTAAAACTAAGAAAAGTTACTCCAGAAAGTATTTTTCTAAAGCAGTAGCTGGCAAATACTAACATGCTCTGCGAGATGTTAGAGGCTGTTCTGGATTTTAGAAATGATGGGAAAAGATCCCAGCCAGCTAGTGGCATGAGAACTGGCTGCTCTTAAGATAACAGAGAAACAAGTGATCCGAATTATTGCACTATTAAGTGAATTATTGTTATATTAAACTGGCTTAGTATGTTTCAGATGTGCTTAAATATAGCAATGCTTTTGCTATTGATTTTTGTAGGTGACTTGATAGTACTAAAAATGCAGAAGACTTCTAAGCACTGAAACATTAATCATCTTCACTGCTTCACCTTATCCCGCTTTTCTGTTCCTGACGGTCTGTTCTTTTTCCAGTCCAAGTGGCATACTGGCCCAGGAGCGGAAGCTGTGTCGGGACCTTGTGCACAGCAACAGAAAGGAGCAGGAATTTCGTTCTATTTTCCATCATATTCAGTCTGCCCAGTCTCAGCGAAGTCCTTCTGAACTGTTTGCTCAACATATAGTGACCATAGTCCATCACGTAAGAGGTGAGTCCACCGTCAGTGTTTCCTCAGATCAAGGTTCCCTCTTCTGTGCTTTGTCCCAATAAGCAGGTAGTAAAGCGCAGCTATTAAATTTCTCCTTAACTTTCTCTTTTCTAAGCTAGATACACCACTTGCTAGATATCCAGTTGTATCCAGTATTCAGGGAGATGGTTGTGACTTAGTCTAGTAAAATTGTATATATAAATTCTATACATGATTAATTTCTATCTGTAAAGTGAGATTCTATTCTCTTAATTTCAAAGGAATGGCGGTCATTTGTTGACAGCATTAGGTAGAGCTTGTCACCTCTGCTGCATATGAATTTGGTCAAAATGGCAGATCGATGCACTTTTTCCCATTAAAAAAAGTATTACTTATATGACATTGTTCACTCAACTTCCCAACAGAGCATCACTTTGGGTCGTCAGGAATGACACTGAATGAACGCTTTACAAAATACCTAAAGAAAGGAATGGAACAAGAAGCAGCTAAAAACAAAAAGAGCCCCGAAATCCACAGGTTGGTGCACTGGACTGTGTCGTATTCTGGGTGCGAATATGACTTTACGTTGTGCTGCTACGCTCTTGCTTTTTGTATATGAATCTTATGGGCATTGTGTGTGTTTGTTTTTTAGGAGAATAGATATTTCTCCCAGTACTTTTAGAAAACATGGATTCTCCCAAGAGGAAACGAAAACTTCCAGAGATCCTAGCTTCAAGGTGAACTGTTACTCTGATTAGTTTAATTCAACAAAATGAGTGCATTGGGCATGAACTTAACAGTGATGTTTTGTTTAAATTACTCTCTACTTAAGTTTGTGTTTTTCTTTTAAGGATGGGCATAATTCTAAAAATGAACTACAAAGGGTTAATTTTTATTAAAAATGTATCAACAACCTTTGTGAAGTGGTTAGACTATGGTAAATGACAATGACCCCAAAGTCAATTGAGGTGAGCTTGAGAAAAATGAGAGGATTTTTGGAACAAGTGCCCATGATGAGAGAAGAGACTTTTTGTGATATTTTTCTGCTTGTAAGTATTATTAAATCAATTGTATACACGTGATATTTCCAACCATGTTTTCAAAAAGACATGCATGTCAAAAAGAGGAAAGTAAAACTAAATACTTACCTAAACCAGTTACACTATTAAGCAGATGATAAATTTTGTTCTAACAACTTACTGTACCATTTCTGTTGATTGCTGTTACTTTAACATTCAGCACCTGTTTTAGTAGATCCAGACCACTTGGAATTTAGTGTATTAGTTTTTCTGAGTGCAACAATGTTAAGCCATTAAACTCATTGTAAACAATCATAGAAGTGGCTTACCGTAAAATGTTTGGGATTTTAACCTTTGTTTATTCACCTTCATACATATTTACGTTGAACATTGAACAGATTTTAAACAGTGCTGATGAAACCTTACTTCTTTCATATTTGTTTTCGATTTTTTCCAAACACTTGTGGCTTGACATGGACGATGGTGAGATGGATTTGATGGGCCTGAACTCTGAGCATCAGCTTGGCAGAGTGTATTATAAACGTGGTTTCCAAACAGCTTGCCAGCCTTCCGTGAAAGACGTGCCCTCACAAACCCAAATAGGTGTTTGCTGTACCACATAAGGGAGCTGCTGCTGATTTTGTCACTTATCTGTCATCCATCGTGTTGGGAGCAGTTGTGTTCTCAGAGTAGAAATTAAAGCTCTTTGCCTGGGAAAAATAGAAGAGCAAAAAAAAAAAAAAACCCAAAGCAAAACATCTGCTCACTCTGCTGCGTTATTTGACATTTTTGTTTAAACAAAAAAGTGTTTAGAGACTCATGTAAGTAAAAATTTTAATAGCTAGAGAATTACTAATCTTTTATATTTAATTGAAGACAATTAATCTGATGTATGTTGCTTAGCAAGTCTCACAGTTCCCAAGAAAAGCAGTATGTAGCAGTGAGGGTTAGCAATGCTGGAGCCCTGTGCAGCCGTGTAGGCTCTGTGGTGTTGCCAGCAGCAGCGTGTGCAGCCTGCCCACAAAGTGCTGCCCTTCAGCCAGTGCCTGTCGAACCCACAGCCTGCGAACTTGCTGCTCTGTTCTGTGCAGCCGTGGCCAAACTTCACCCGCTTGCCATTGCTCTTAGAGGCCATACAGGTGACAGCTGCTTCCATTTTCTCAAGAAAGGATTTCAAGCCCTATGCGAGCAGCAATTTCAATAGAACTTGAAGCAGGCACTAGTTGATTTGTTTTTAATTGAAGAACAAAATAGTCCTGGAATTTTCTTTATACAGTTGGCTCTTTTTTCTTCTGTAAAGCAGCAGGTAACTAGACTTGCTAGTGTAACGTAGGGAGAGAAATATGTACCTCCCTCGGCTGCTTTCCTGTCATCTTTGATACAATGCCTCTGTTTGGGAGGAGATGAAGGGCAAGTCTTTTTGACAGACATATTAAAGCATCTGTAAGATGTTTATTTAGAAAAATGCCGACATGACAGCTGCGTTTCTGTGGCCTCTGTCTGTTGTTGCTTTGATCAGTAGCCACAGTGTTGGTATCTCCAAGGGGCAAACAGCTTTTGCTTCTCCTTGTGTCCTGTTTCAGACCTGCTGGTTGAATTCCCTTCCGTGCTGGCGTGGTGGTGTCTGTGAGCAGGGTGGTGAGCATGCTGCTGTCTGGCAACAAGCATCCACAGCACATTAGACGTTTTGTTCATGCTACAGTTCAGAGACATAAAAGAAAGCTGCAGTCTGTGAAATAACTAATTTTAATAGTGAAACATTTTACATCTTAGAATGGATTATTGGTTAGTGTTGAGCTAAACTACTGCTCTCTGGAAGTCTGTGCAGTCAGTAGCGAAGTAGTGGTGCTGAACGGGTGCACTGTAAACCTTTCTGCTGAACTCTTCCCTCTTCCCTGCTGTTGTAGGCTGAAGGGAAATATAAGGACGACCCTGTTGACCTGCGCCTTGATATCGAGCGCCGTAAAAAACATAAGGAAAGAGATCTTAAACGTGATAAATCAAGAGAATCGGTGGACTCAAGAGATTCAAGTCACTCAAGGGAAAGATCAGCTGAGAAAACTGAGAAGACTCACAAAAGCTCAAAGAAAAAGTATGTAGTAAACTAAGCAATTTCTTTTGTGTTCCATACCTGTGGTATTAAGATCAGAGACAGCGTCACGGGTACCTAGTCGTGTTCCTGTGGACGCAACACAGCAGGGGAGGTCCTATAGGCCTGGCATCATTGTGTCTGTGTGAAACACTGAACAGCGGTTAGATGTAAATGAGAAGGTTGCATTTATCATCATGGGTGAATTCCTTTTTCTCTATTGTGTCATAGAGAATATCTGTCTTTAAGTAACTTTGCTTTAAGGTTGTTGTAATCCTTTGCTATTAGCTTAATTTTCTGTCTAACTAAAACTGCATAGGTCAGTGCTCCTTTAGGAGAAAGAATGCTAAGAAGAGAAGTAGTGCTGATCTGAAAAGCATGTTTATCTCAAACAGATGATTTAAACACCTTTGTGTCTCCAGTCTTGATGGAGAGGGCTTGGGACCTGCTAGATACCTTTGTTGTAGCTGCTCCTAAGCTGTTACTGTGGCTTTCCTTGCTCGCAGTAGGCAGATGTTACGTTGTTAAGGGAGCTTTAAAGAAATGGTCCTGTAGTTCACAGAGCTGCCCGCTGCTTTGTCCCGCTCACGTCCCCTCTCCTGTCACTGAACCAGGAAACACCGGAGGGTGCGTGAGAGATCCAGGTCCAGTTCGTCATCTTCACGGTCCTCCCATTCACTGAAAGCAGAGGAATACACCGAAGAGACGGAGGAGAGGGAGGAGAGCACCACGGGTTTCGACAAGTCCCGACTTGGCACCAAGGAGTTCACTGGTCCGAGCGAGAGGGGAAGAGCTAGAGGGACTTTCGTAAGTTCTTGTCTGTTCCTGCCCCTATCAATTCCCAGACTGGGCAAAGCGTGGCCATTTTGCACTGCTCTTGCACTATCAAAGCACACTGAGAAGCAGAAACCCCCAGGGCCTTGGCTGGTTGTGGAGGATGAGCTGAAAGGCAGTTGCTGCCAATCCAGCACGGAGTCTGGGGAGCGCTGTGCAGCGCTGGACGTGGGCAGGGTGGTAGAACTGGGGATGTGCGGAGCAAAACGGAGCCTGGAGCCCTCTGTGCATCGGCGGCTGCCCAGCAGTCCCGAGAGCAGCATAACCTGCACCAGTCACTCTGGGTTCAGCACCTGGAGTGGCTCTTCTGGCCGAACCCACCCCGGTCGTAACTGCTGCTTCTTGCCCTTCCTGTTGCAGCAGTTCAGAGCCAGGGGGAGAGGCTGGGGCAGAGGCAGCTTCTCGGGCAACAACAACAGCAGCGGTGGCGGCAACAACGACTTTCCGAAGCGAACCAGAGAGGAGGAGTGGGACCCCGAGTACACCCCCAAGAGCAAGAAGTACTACTTGGTACGTGTGTGAAGGGCAGCGCGAGCGTGGGGGGGCCTGGCTGAGGCCTTCGCGCATCTTCCATGGGGGTTTCGGCCTCCTTTCATTTTCCTGTTGCTGTTCATTGTAGAATAGTTTTCCATTCAGTAAAGTTCTAGAGGCCGATTAAAGACCATGTGTTTCCCACTAGTGTGAAGAGCACAGCCTAAATCTGTTAGTCTGTGGTGTCCATAGCGAGTGCACATCCTTGGGTGGGTTTGTGATGTTCTCGTCTGCTTCTGGTGGTAGCAGCCCCCCATTCTGGGAGAATCCCATCAGAATGATTCTGCCCTTTGAGAAAGAGCAGTTCCGAACGTAGCCACTAAGTCATTTCTTTTCCTGCTTTGGAGTCATTGAGATCCCTCATCTTACTCACTAGTGCAGTGTTGTCCTGTCGCTCAAACAGGAAGGCTTGGGTTTTCCCCGTGTCCTTGTTGGAAGCAGAGCGGTAATTTGCTCTTGGTGCCCAGTGTCGGCTCTGTCGATTCACACCGCACTGGGCGGGGTTTCGGCCAGCAGCACAGCGGGCAGCGAGGTGGGCTCTGTCTGCACCCTTGTGTGTGCTGTAAGTCGGGCAGCTGCAGGGACACGTTCCCCGCTCCCGTCGCGGTGCCGTCGCTCGGGCCGCTGCCCTGACGCCTCCGGCTTCCGCCCCTGCAGCACGATGACCGAGAGGGCGAAGGAGCCGACAAGTGGGTGAACAGAGGCCGCGGGCGCGGAGCCTTCCCGCGAGGAAGAGGCCGCTTCATGTTCCGCAAGTCGAGCACCAGCCCCAAGTGGGCGCACGACAAGTTCAGCGGCGAGGAGGGCGAGATCGAGGACGACGAGAGCGGAGCGGAGACGCGCGAGGAGAAGGAGGCCCTGCAGGCGGCCGCCGAGTAGCCCGGGGTCCCGCCTGCCCAGAGCCCCGCGACCCTCCTCGCCGGCACCTCGCTCCATGGCCGGTTGGTTTCCTTTTCCTTTTCTTGGCCACAGGCTTTGAAGACAACGTGGATTTCGGTTTGTGCCCATCCTACCCCCGTAGTCTTGACGTTTGTTTTTCTTTTTTTTTATAATTTGAAATAGTAGAGGTTGGGATTAACTCGACAGGTTAAATTTTTCTCCCCTATTGTGTATTCAATTTTTTAAATTCATACTCTACTTCTTTTAGGCCTTTACGTATGTAGTAGTAACATCAATTAAATGATAATTTTGGAAACTATTTTTGGTTCTTATAAATAAGAAAACAATGAAGCATGTGAATAAACATCTAAATGTTAACTTGTTGGGACCAAACTGCGATGATTTTTGTTTTGTTTTTTTTAACTTTTGTTTTTAAATGTAACAGTTGAGTTTAGGGCCTTTTAAGAACCATTGTTTTTCTTTTATGTTGAAAGTTAACAAAATTAGCATGGTTAAAAAGAAAAAACCCTTTCCCCCGGTCTTCACCGGTGGGTAGCGTGTGCACTGCTAGGCTGGTGCGTGCCCGAGCCCCCCGGCTTTAGGCACTTGGTGTCTCCTCCTCCCAGCCCTCTGCCCCGCAGTGCTCTTGCCAGGGTAATAGTTTTCTAAGGAACTTCAGAATTCTACTAGGTTAAAAATATAAAAGGAGATGAGAATTTTTCAATATTTTTTATTAATGTTTTTATAAGACGAGGCAGGTCGCTGCTGTGCTGGCTGAGGAGGGCGGTTCCGGGCTCTTTCCTTCGCCCGGGGCCTGCAGAGGGCTGGGAAGCCAGGCGGGCTGCAGGAGAGGCCCCTGGGTGCCCCCGCTTGCGGCGCTGCCCCACACACCGACTAGCGTGTGGTTGTTTCCACCTGAACCCTTCCTGTTTAGCAACCCCTGGAGTTTGTTTTACGCCAATAAAGTACAATACCATGAGCAGCGGGTGTAACTGCGCTCTGTTGTGTGCGGCGGGGGGCGGGCAGGGCGGCAGCCCCCAGCAGCAGCAGCAGCTCCCCCAGCTGCAGCCCTGGCACACGGAGAAGGCGCCGCCGCTCCCGACGTCTCTCCCATCGGGAGCGACGGACTCGGAAGCGCAGGCAGAGCTGGCCCTGCACCAGGCCAAGGTAGAAGCAGGGCTCCTGCCCTGCTCTTGGTAACTGCAGCTGATACCAGCCCCAGGTGCTGCAGTTCTTGGCCTTGAGCTGCTTGCACCCCATATAGAGTAGAGAATCCTGAGCACCCCACACTGTACTGGACACCCTGTGCACCCCACACCATCCTGGGCACCCTGCATTGTGCAGGGCACTCCCTGTATCACATGATGCTGGATGCCCCATTCAACCCCCACTGTACTGGACACCCCACGCACCCCCACATTGTGCAGGGCACCCTGTGCGTTGCACACAGGGCTGGACACCCCATGCACCACACACCATGCAGGGAACTCTATGCACCCCACACTGTGCGTGTACCACACACTGTGCAGGATACTCTGCGTGTGTCACACTGTGCAGGGCACCCCAAACTACTGGACACCCCATGCACCACACACCATGCAGGGCACCCCACACTGTACTGGACACCCTGTGCACCCTACATGGTGCATGCACCACACATTGTACAGGGCACTCTGTGCACCCCACACTGTGCATGCACCCCACATTGTGCAGGGCACCCCATGCACCCCACACTGTACTGGACACCCTGTGCACTGTACACTGTACTGGAAACTCCATGCACTGCACCCCGTGCAGGGCACACAGTGTTGGACACCCTGTGCACCACGCACTGTATTGGACACTCGTGCACCACACACCATGCAGGGCACACTGTGCACCCCACAATGTGCATGCACCCCACATCGTGCAGGGCACCCTGTGTACCACACACTGTACTGGACACCCTGTGCACCGCACATGGAGCTGGACACCCCATGCACGGCACTCAGTGCACCCCACACTCTGCAGGACCCACCCCATGCACCCCACATTGTGCAGGGCACCCCATGCACCCTGCACTGTACTAACACCCTGTGCACCGCACACCCCAAAATCCACGCAGGGCACCCCAGTCAAGCCCCAGCGGGGGGAGGCTGGCCCTGTCCAGCCAAGCTCCCCCCCACCAGCAGCACCACACGCGGGATGACCAGAGCCCCTTGATTATAAATAGTGTATAAACTAATCTGTATTTTGGGTATGAATTCCCCCCCCCCTCCCCCCAAGCCACTCCCCAGCTCCCCCCGGATGCAGCCGGGGCCGCCTCTGTCCCCTGCCTGTGTGCAGCCCCGGCACCGTCTGGCCTCCCGCCATGCGTGGGGCTGGGAGAACATCTGGAAAACATCTGGATCCTGCTGGGGCGGGGGGGGGCTGAGAAGGAGCTATTTTTGCAGGAACCAACGGGGGGGGGGTGGGGAGGAGCAGCAGCAGACTAAACCCCACCAACCCACCCCCTTCTCCCCTGGGATGCGGCCATTCCATCCTGTCCCATCCTGTCCCCGCCGCGCACGGGGCAGGAGGTGCCGGAAATGTCTAATTTTAGCGGGTCCTTGGGGGCCAGCGGGAGGGCGGCGGCCCAGGCAGCACCAGGAGGGGCCAAGCGCGGGACAGTCCCCAGTCCCGCTCAGTAGCGGGGCGGGCAGGCGGCACCCAGCAGGTCGGGCTGCCCCGTGCGCCAGATCTCGCGCAGGATCCGCTCGCGCTCCTCCAGCCGCTGCGCCCGCGCCAGCTCCTCAGCCGATGCGAACACGTTGACGGTGCCCTGGCTCTCCTGAGGCAGCTCTGTGGCCGGCAGCAGTGACTCGGAGGCCGCCCGGTCGATGGTGTCTTCCTCCTCCTCATCATCATCCTCGTCGTCGTCATCGTCCTCGTCCTTGTTGCCGCCGCGGTGGGGCGGGCGCGGGGGACACGAGCGCCGCAGCACCAGCAGCCCCAGCGTGAGCAGCAGCCCCGCGCAGACGCCCAGCACGAAGTAGAGGCCGAAGCTCTCGGGGTTGTCTGCAGGGAGCGGGATGTGAGGCCGGGCCCGCTGCGGCCCGGCCGCCGCCGCCGCCACTCACCTCGCACGTGCGCGAAGGCCGCCAGGCTGCTGCTCAGCAGCTCCATGGGCCGCGGCTCCATCCCGGTGCCCGTGGGGGCTGCGCGGCCGCCTGGGGGCAGAGGGGCCGCGGGCGGGCGCTGAGTGCGGCGCTGGGGTCTCACAGGACACAGGCTGAGTGGCGTCTGGGGACCCCAGCCCCAAAAAGCAACCCCCTCCCCTCCCAAATCGGCCAGTGCCCCCTGCCCATCACTGCCAAAGCGCCCCCGCCACCAGCAGCAGCCGCCGTGAGGCCGCTGGTCCCCACCTCCCCCAGAGCCAATGCTGCCCTGGCACCGGGATGAGCCCTTTTCCCAGAAACGTCTCCATGGAGGGAGGAATGAGGAAAGAAATGCAGAAAATGTGACACATCAGCAGGGCCGGCCCCGGAGCGCGGCCCGCACGGCTGCACCGCCAGGCTCCGACGAGAGCAGAACCAGCACCAGGAGTGACCGGTGCTGGGACCGGGGCGCCCATGGGCTCGCTCTGGGGCAGGCGCCGTGGGGGCTCCCGCCGTGGGGGCTGCAGCCACTGGGCAGGGGCAGCGGGAGCCCAGCCGGGATCATCCCTGCCCCAGTCCCTGCCTGGGCGGCACTGCAGGGACACGGTGCAGAGCCCTGTGCCCCCCAGCACCGAGTGGCAGCGCCCCAAGCACCAGGGCCTGCTCCTCAGCGCCACGCACGTCCCCACGCGCTCCGGCCTCGCACCGCGGCCCCAAGGGAGGCCCACGGCCCCGCACACCGAGCCCACAGCCCCACACACCGAGCCCAGGGCCCCATGCACCGAGCCCAGGCCCTCATGCACTGAGCCCCCGGCCCAGGTCCCGCGCCCCTGTCCCTGTGGCCCGAGCCCCCGTCCCCACATACCGAGCCCCCGTCCCCACGTACCGAGCCCCTGGCCCTGGCTCCCCGGCCGCTCTGAGCGCGCGGTGCCGCCGCGGCCGCCAGGCAGGGTCTGCTCCGCATCAAGGCAGCAGCAACAGGAAATACTTCGGCGGAGGCCGCGCTCGGCGGAGCCAATGGCAGCGGCGGCGCCCGCTCCCCCGGGACGCCACCACAGCCCCCTCCGCGGCCAGCCCCGCTGCCCCCCGCACCCCCAGCCCGCACCCCTCCGTGCGACCGTCATTGCCAACAGGCAGGAGCAGCTCCGGCAGTACAAAAATAACGTCTTTATACAAACTCGCTCGGGGTTTCGCTTTGTTTTGTTTCGTTTTTACAACAGGCTCCTTCCCCGTCCCGCTCCGCGCGCCGGCCCCTGGGCTTGAGCAGGGCCCGTCCCCTCGCAACTATTGCATTAACTGACACAAAGGCGGCCCGGACCCGGGCCAGGAGGAGCCATCGCGGGGCTGGGACGCATCTGCCCACGGCCACAGTCACTAAGGCGAGGACGGGGCTTGCAGCGGCACCGGGCCCGGCCGGGGCTGCACTGGGCACCGCGGCTGCACCGGGCAGCCCCGAGCGGAGCTGGCAGCAGTGGCAGGAGCCTCCGTCTGGCAAGAGCGGCATCCAGTTCACAGCGGGGGCTCAGGACGCGCTCCCCAGGGACACAAGGTGACACCCGGGGACATCCCCGTCCAGCCCCCATCGGGAGAGCGGAGCAGGGCCCGGCTGCGGCAGCCGGGCCACCTGGCAAGACAAGCTGGGAGCAAGGAGAGCAGCGACGCGGGGCAGCCCTCCCCCGGCCACAACAGTCTGGGGATCCTTTCTTCACATTAGAACTCATATATTAGATCTGTACCACAACTCAAGAGTGAAAAGGCTAAATCAATTAATGCAATCTTAACTGCACCTTAGAGAAGCTACTGAAAAAAAATAAGATTAAACCATAGATTCTGATGAAACTAAAAGAACCGGTGAAGGAGGCCAAAGGCCAAGAGAGGCCAAGTTCTGCAAAACCTTTCCATAGCTACAGGCAGGCCCAAAGGCCCGGGGAGGGTCTGCGCGGCCCGGTGCCACAGGGCCGGTTCCGTGCTGCTACCCCAGGCCACCACGGGGCCGACGACACCTTCAAAGCGGCCGGGTGCCAGGAACAGAGGACGGGATGCAGAGGAGGGGCAGTGGGAGGATTCCCGGAGTTCTTCCTTTCAAGAAGCCCAGGTAACTCTAAGCTTATCCAGAGCAGAGGCAGCGCCCACGTGGCGCCAGCGCGGCGCTCGGGCCAGCAAAGCAGCTTCCCCTCCGTCGCCTCCTCCTTTGCAACAGGCTTTGCTCGGTCATGAGAACAGCATGGTTAAAAAGACCAGAGAGGTAGATTACAAAGTCACGATTAAAAGCAGATTAGTCATCTAGGCTTGGATTTAAAAATAAGGATTCCAGAAGATGCCAAGAGATTGCTGCTTTCCAACTGAGCTTTCCCAAAGTGTTCTCCCTCGCGAGTGAGTGTGAGTGTGTGCCCCTCAACGGAGCTCCGAAGAAATGCTACATTATTCTCCGTCACGGGACACCGGTATTGCTGTCGGGCTGTAGTAGGTGACGTGAAAGGCAGGTTGCAGGATGGTGCTTGTGCTCTCGGGTGTGTGGGAATCTACTTCCGAAGGTATCTCTGGGCCAGGATGGCTGCATCCAAAGGGTTCATGGGCTGCGCATCGTGGCCCAGGCGCCGCACAGGGGGGATGTTCCCAAACTGCCGCTTCTGCAGGAAGCTCTTGGCCTCATGCAACGTGTTCTTCTCCTCAGCCAGAAGCAGCTGTTGCCGCATGTAGTTCTCGAACTCGTACTGCGAGCACTCCTCCGTGACCTTCACCTGCAGGGGAAGCGCCTGAGCCGAGCCCCGAGGGCCGCAGCAGCGGTGTGCGGAGCAGCCGGCGCTGCCCCGGCTCGCACCACAGCGCGGGCAGCTCTCAGGGCAGAGCCACCACGGGAAGAGACCTGCACCTGCTGCTGAGCGTCCCGCAGGACGCCAGGAGCCACCAGGACAGAGGGGTGAAAACCCCGCGGGACCCTGGGGGGCAGCTCAGCCCAGCAGGGCTGGCACCGGGAGTGCTGGCATCCTGCTGGGTCTCGCACCCTCCCGCACCTGGAGTGGGGGCAGCTGCAGAGATTTGAGGGCGCCGCTGCCCGCGGGGCCACTGTGTCACCCACGAGGGCTCCGAGGAGCCTGTCCCTGCAGTGAGCTCACCGGCTGCCCCTTCCAGCAAGGAATAGCACTGCCGGGAGAACAGGATGTTTGCTCCGCTCCCGCGCGCACTGGGGACATTGAGCCGAGGCTGCCGGCGCTTCCCGCGGGAATCGGACACATCCCCGAGAGCAGAGGCCCCAGAGACCCTGTCAGCCGAGCTCAGCTCCATCACTCCCTGCTTTCCTCTCCCAGCACCACAAAGACCTTCCTTCCCTGCACACCCACCTCCTGCGGGTTGTCTGGATTGGCCACCTGGTCGTCGATGTCCGGCACCACTTGCAGAGGGCCGCTCAGCGAGGACATGGACTGCCTGGGGACGAGAGTGTGCGGTCACCAGCGCGGCCCAGCGCCGGCCACTGCCACCCACTGCGCTGCGGGGACCCTGCGGGCTGCCCAAGGACACTCCACACTCACAGTCGGCTTCCACTGATGGAAACCGTGGTACGGTCCACGGAGGGGACTATATTTATTTCTCAACCACAATGCGGAACTCTAACATAGGCAGGAGAGAAGACAGCTGTGACTCCGACCATCACAGACTTCCCTGCTGCCTCCACCGACTGGGGACGTTGCATCCGTGTGGACACAGGTTCCTCCACGGGAGCTTTGCTCAGGTTGGGCAGCACCGGGCGAGGCCGCAGGGCTGAGGGTGCTCAGGACCCACTGCAGCTGCAGCATCCCCACCTGAAGCACTGCCCACACCTGTAACGCTGCCGCTCCTTCTTCCCCTCTAGGTCTCATGCCCAATTTTAGTTAATTGACAATGTAGGCCTAATTACAAACTGCATTGGCACATACATGTACCATACTCTGGACCACTGGCCTATTTCTTAAAAGTCAAATTTGTGGAGGAAAGGGCAGGCAGAGATCAACACAGCACTCCTGCATCCTATTCCTGTTTGGCAGTTTTGTTGCTTTAAAAAACTTCCAACCTTTCTGTCACAATGGTAAGCATTTGCATTAGCCACTCTGCACCCATTAGCAGCCACCGTTGTCATGGGCCAACCAAACAAAAATATTTGTGATACAGGATTAAAACTGCTCACAGTTTTCAGCCTGTGCTCTGGTCTCATGTTTGGCAGCAGTCTGATGAGCACAGCTGGAACAACCACCACCACATGAGGCCGGACACCCTGCGCTCCTGCCTTCCCCCTCGGACATACCATGACGCTATGATGGAGCTCAGCGAGTCCAGCACCTCCGAAGCCGTGAGACGCTGCTGCGGATCCAGGACAAGCAGCTTGCGGATCAGGCACACAGTGTTCTCCGAGACGCGGCCATCCCTGGGGGAGAGGGAGCACAACGAGCTGAGCGCCCCGGGCAGCGAGCGGCGGCACGGGCAGGTGCCGAGCAGGCCAGGAGCTGCAGGAGCCACTACTGCTCTGAGCTGGGAGACCCCGAATGAACAGGCGGGCGCTGCCCTGCCCCAGCACCGTGAGGCCTTGCTCACCTTTGCACAAGCTGTGCCAGCTCAGCCACTGCTTCCTTGGTGTCTACCGCATACACAGCCTTTGCTCTCATTTTGGGGACCCTCAGTGGCTCCTGCTGCCACAGCAAGGCACCGAGCGCTGCCTGTGCGGGCCCCGAGAGCGGGGCTGCCCGGGGCCGGGCTGTACTCACTCGGGGATGGTGTACTCGGCAGCCTTGATCTTGCGAAAGAGCTCCTGAGGTATGCTGTCGTAGAAGGGGAACTGGCCGTAGAGCATGGTGAAGAGCACGACGCCCAGCGCCCACATGTCGCTGGGCTTCCCTCGGTACGGTCGTCCTGCAGCGGGGCAAAAGCAACAGGTTTTATAACACACCACACCTGACCACAGCTGCACTCCCCAGGGCCGGAGCAAGCGGGAAGCACCTCTGCATGGGCTCCTTTTGAGAATTACAGTGCTCAGCCCTTCCCACTCCCAGGCAGCGAGGAGCCCTCTGAGGTGCACCCTTACAGGCAAGGGAACTGGTCGCCTCCACATGAATGTTTCCCCAATCTCAACAGACAAGTTCATCCCTGATGAAGGGGCTCGATCTGATCCAAGGGCAGGGAGCATCCCAAGCCACGAGGCACTCACAGATTTGCTCCGGGGAGCACGGCCCGGGCACCGCCTCATGGAAACGCTGCTTTAGAGTCTGCAGTTACAGCAGATCAACAAATAGCAGCTTGCACGAGGGTCAGAAATTAAACTCCAATGCTGTACCACAGCACAGGATTAAGAGAGTGACTTCCTCTGACTCACAGAGTGAGTCATTGCTGCAAGCATTCACTATTTGTACTAATTATTCTCTTCTTTATATGCTCAAAAAAGGCACCTCTCCCTCCTCCAGTTTCTCCTGCAGTGACATTTCAGCAGCCACAAAATGCAGGCCAGCTCCTTGAAAAAGACAGCGTCTCCTGCAGACCTAAAGCAATGATGAATCCTTCGGGTTTTTTAGCTTCTTCTTCAACAGAGATATGAGTGGTACAGGCAGAAGGATGTTCTTATGCACCAGTGTCTTAGTTTGAAGTGTCCCTCAGTAACTTCCTGGTGGGTGAGGAGGGCACCCGAAGGGAGCGGGGCACGGAGCCCCCACGGGAGGGCTGCTCGTGCCCCCAGCCGGGCGAGCGGGAGGGGATCCCGGCAGCCCTCGGCGGCACTAACAGGCCGAGCAGCAACCGGGCGTCCCGGCCCCGAGCGGCCCCCACCTCCAGGGGCCGCAGGAAATCCTGAGGAAGAGGAAAGGCCAACAGAGAACGGCCACGTTCTGGGCCCAGCCTGCCCCTGCCTGCCCAAAGGGAAGCAGCCGGGGACCTGCCCGGCCGGTGACGGGGGAAGAGCCTGGCTGCACCCAGTGCCCGTAACGCCCAGAGCACCGCGTCTTGAAATAAGAACAGAAAAGTCTCTCCGTCTGAAGGCATCTCTCAAACAAAACAGCCACGGATTGCACCCTGTCACGGGCCTGCCAGCGAGCGCTGCTGCCCAGGGCAGGCTTGCTTGGGAAACAGCGACTACTGGAAACGTTAGGAACAGTTTTACACACTTCACACCATCCACGCAGAGTGCCCAGCAGCCAGCGTGTTAGCACACCTCAGCGCTTGGGAAACCTGCGGAAGGCAACGAATACACAGAACCTGCAGCCCTTTCTGAAGGGTCCAGGCACCAAAGGCACTTAAAAGGTGGGAAAACATTAGGAAAAGCTTCCTCCCTAGACATCTGCTTAAGGTCTCTGCTGGAAACAAGACAGTCCAGAGGGACTGCTGGTTTGGCCCACTCTGATCATTCTTTTCATTTTTAAATAACTCTCCTCAGTCAGTCTAGAAGCGCCTGAGGCATCAATAGTTCCCTTTTGGAGACAAGTAGCAACAGGGGCAACTGCTCCTCTTAAGAGTCCTCGCTTGGAATAAACCAGCATTATAGTGGGATTCGAACTGATTGTTTCTTAGGCTTTGGGATTGACCTCCTGCTTAAGTCAAGCCTCAGGAACAAAATTCAGACATGGGAAACAGAACATCTTGTCTGCACTTGGACTTATTTAGGAACAGACAGGCAGCCTTAAATGAGCTTTGAAGTCCAGACTAGCCTTAAGACAAAATTTATACTCGCTCTTTCCCTCTCTACTTTCCCAGTTTCCCAGGAATAATAAACTAGGTCCTACAAGCAGACCCTCTTTAGGAGGATTTGAGGAGGCAGGTTTCATATGGGAACAGAAATGGTTTTCACTCAGTGACAAGAAGCACAAACAAACAAAACAAGAGCAGTAAGCGCAGGGTATGCCCGCGGGGCGAGCGCCGCGTACCGCTGAGCACATCCGGGCTGATGTAGGCAGGGCTCCCTCGCTGGTCTTTCAGCAGGTCGTCCTCACTCACTAGGTGCTTCCCGAGACAGAAGTTCGTTATGGTGATTCGGTGAGTCCTGGGGAGAAGCAGAAGGAATTGGTGAACAAGGTCCTGGAGGCCACAAGGCGGACCCAGGGAACGGAGGATGGCTACGCGGCTCTTGGGGACGCTTCAAGCGCTGGGCTTGTAAGAGCGGTTGTAGGATCAGCTCCATCCTGCTGGCAGGGATTTCAACACGTCAGCACGAGCCGCACGGCTCTCATGGGGCACGGAGCAGCTGCCGGATGGCTGTGGACAGAGCCCACAGCAGCGCGGGGCACCGGCAACCCGATCCCCCTGCAGCCTCCGCCGCAGCAGCACCGGGGTGCCCGGCAGTGCCAGCCACGCACGGCACCACCGCGATGGAAATCAGAGCTTCATTTGAACTGCTGACTCTCCACTCTCACCTGCTGCTACGGCCAAGGGCTGCTTCTCCGCACAGCACATCCCAGCCTAAGGGGAGGGATCCCACGGGATGAGCTGCTATCTTTTAGGCATTCAAAGCACTGTTGGCCTGTGCGGCTCTGGCGGGGCCTCTGGGGAGGAGGCCACAGGAGCCTTCATCAGCCCCAGGGCAGCTGCTTATGCTGCCCAAGGATCCCACAGCAGAATCCCAGCTTTCCCTGATCTCCAGACTCCTCTTTACAGCAAGGTACATAGAACAGAGGAGGTAAAAATCAATGCCAAAAAGCCTCCTGTAGTTAAATGCTTCATAAAAGGTAAGAACTGCAGGGATATGCAATTTCTGTATTAAGACACCCCTGCATCCCCATGGTACTGTCTACTCCGAACTAGGAGCTTTTCTAGGAACAGCAGGATCATTACACAGTTACTGCCACATTAAAACTTCCACTTCACTCAGGTAATTTGGTTCTTAACATACAAATTAAAGGATTAAGCAGAAAAACACTGTCAAGATTTCTATATTCTTGAAAATAGGGTCTGAGAGCATGAATTAAATCAGTCAAAATAATCAAGAAATATTTCCAACAAATCTAACAGACAAGTGAAATAAAGCTGAGTGTGGGTTGGCATTGGAGAGCTGATAAGACAGATTCGTGTTTAAGAGGTGTTAGATCCAACTGTCAAGAGACTTCCCCGGGTGAATAACAATTCCGGGATTTGTTAAAAATTCAAAAGACTAAGTGTTCTGAAGGACACAGAAACGATTGGGGTTGCTTGGTTTTATTTAGTCACTGAAACCTGATCGGTAATTAAGACTAAATAAATAAGACTCCAACTACTGAACTGCCTCGGCAGGAGCTGGACCCGGCGAGGCTGTACGTGGGCATCCCCAGGGCGCAGGGCCTGGGGGTCTCATTAGCCCTGGGCACTACGGTGCAGGGCTGGGCGCGCAGCGATGCCCGGCGTGGCCTGGCTCTCTGCCCACAGGAAAGGCCTTGCTGTCATTCGTGAGCGTGTCGGGAACAGAACAACCACTTCTATCAGGCCAGATGACTGGTGCTCTCCATGGTGATCTATTCTTAAGCTTCACCCACCCCTTCACATGACTCACTGCTTTGGAGGCTCCGGGCAGGTTTCCTTCCCAGCTGATGGACTCGCCAGGGAAAAGCGGGCGGACCACGGAGCTCAAAGAATGGCTTTGACAACTAAGTTGACGCAGCTTCAAATGCCTTCCCCCTTGCACTTTTCCTCTTTCTAGCAAGCAGGAGAATCAAACAAGCAAGAGGCAGGAGATCCATCCTACAGCAACTAACTACAGGGCATCCAGAACAATTTTCAGGTGGCCCTGGGTGGGGGAAACAGAAAAACCACCTGCTGTTGGGGGGAAATGAAGTTTATTTCAACAGGCAAAATTGCTTCCCCCTCTCCCTAAGTTTGAAGGGAAAGGCAGCTGTGGCAGCAAGGCTGGATAGGCCCTCGAGAGCTGCGAGCCCAGAGCCTCCCTCCTTTCGCTCACTCCGCAGGCAAGCAGTTCTACCCAAACAACCAGGGATCGACTTTCTGCAAGCTGAACTGCAGCCAAACGCCGGCCTTGTTCCCTTCAGGGCAGCCAAACCCACTCCAACAGCACTACAAGCAGGAACCGGAGATCTGCGTCAGCATCCCTTGCTAGGGGTGAGTCACACCTCGGTTATGACCCTGCTGGCCGATGCTACGCTCTTGGTTTGTTTTGGTGTTTTTTTTTTCCCCCCCCTTTTTCTAGGAACGTCATTTCCACCTCCTACCCCTGGGTAAAGGGGGGGAGCCACAGCACCCCGGGCACGCAGGCTGCACAGCATGCAGGCTGCTGCACGGCAAGGATGGGCAGTGAAAGGGCTAAATTCACTCTTACGTTCCTCTTACGAGGAGGATCTCCTCAGTGTGCCCCCTCTGCCAGGGCAGGCTGCAGTGCCAGGGCACGCGGTTCCTAAAGCCAGGGCGTTCCCAAGGCACAGATCTCACCCACTGGAGGCCACTGTCATTTACGCTGCTCGCAGCAACTGCGCTGCTGGCCTTCAGAGGGGAAGCGGCTTCGGGAAGCTACAATTCCCAACAGATTATAAAGGGCAATGACAAAACAAGGCTTAGGCTGAAAGCAAAACAGCAAACAAAAGCAAACCCAGAAACATCATAAGAGAACAGGCACTAGAAGCTGTCACACTGCAAGGAAAAAGGGCTAAAACAGCATGTGGAGAAAAGACAGAGCTGAGCTTACCTCCTCCACACAGACTAGTGCAGTCCTCACACTACCACCACACACCTTCCCAACAGCCTCTTTCAATGAGTGTTTAGGAGAACTGCAGGCTGGGCAGCACTGCGAGCGGGCAGAGCTGGGGCAGCCCCAGGCTACCAAGGCCTTGCTCCCCGCACGCTCTGACTTGGCTTTCCTCCACTTCCAATTCATCCCCAATATCCCTGCGAACCACCACCCCACACAGAGAGAGTCCGGTCTGTCCTGTGCTTAAAGAATCAAGAACATCTTGGTCATGGGATCTACAATGAGCAGAGAAAAGACAAAGTGTGAAATATTTTACAGACTAGCAGAATCCGGGGCCAATAAGTATCAAATGGCTGCTCAGTTTGTAACCTCGGGGAAGTTTTGCTGTTGGGATGAAGAACTGTCAAGTCAAACATTTTCGTTATTTACTCAGTGGTTCAGAGGGAATCCCACACGAGCAGCAGTGAAATGCAGAACAGACCTGCAGCTACCTACGAGCTGCACTCAAGCCAGCCTCAGGGCAACTCCGAGACGTGCAGTTCAACCCCTGGAACCCTTGAGACGGGGGCATCTCGCACAGCTGGCATCTTTCCCACATCAGCAGGCGTTATCTGGATAAAACAGTGAAGAACCCGAGATCTGCTCCATCCCTCTGCAATCCTAATGAAATAAATCCGCCTTCATTGCGATTCTTAGCCACTCTCTAGCCCTCCAAAAGAACAGGACAGTTGTCAGAAGGGGTGAAATGAGACATTACAGCCAGAAGTTAAGACTACAACCATCTACACTAGCACCCTCTATTAGGCAGACCACAAACAACCCGGTATTAACACTGCCTTCCAGGACACAACCTTCAAAAGCCCTCATCCACAGTTTAAAAATCAATGGTTATTTCAATTTACTCATAAAGCACCTGACTCAATGTGACTAGAACTCAAGTGTCCACTTGGAGTTAACCCCTGACTCAATATTCTGGGCACAAATTAATCTGGGAAGCTAAAGCAAACATGAAATAATTATGCATGAGCTAACAGTTTGCAGTAGAACAAAGAGCGCTGAACACTTCAGACTCAAATCCACCCAGATTCATTCCTCAGCACTGAATTTTCAGGAGTAGGTGCCGACCATGAAATCATTCTAAGTGTACTGGGTAAGCAAACTATCTAGGACTAATTCAATTCAAGAGATTATCATGTAATGTCAAGTTGAATTTGCATTTTTTGCTCAGCTTTCCTCTATCTCATCTTTTTGGTCCAGTTACTCAAACATTACGTCTTCAGTTGTGCTCCCCACAAAATACCCATTAAGACCGATACCCAAACCCATAAGGCTGGCAGCTGAGCAGCTCTCCAGCAGACTTACCGTTTGTTTAGCACCATGTTTCCTAGCTTCAAGTCTCTGTGCACAATATTTTTCTGTAAAATATATGTTAATATAACATAAGCAAAAGTACATTTGCTGTAACTCTAAGTTTGATACTTAGACAAAAAATACTAATTATCCTCCAGAATCATTCTGCTTTCGTTCTCAGAAATGCTCATTCTCTTAGCCAATGTGGTTTCTTTTAAATACAAACTACAGGAGACAGGACACAGCTTTTAACCACATACAGAAGGCAAAATTTAATGAGAGTTCTATTACATTATTGTTAAAATTCTAATTCATTGATCTCGAACTTGTAGCTTGAGAAATTCAACTCAAAAAGAAAATCCTTGCAAGGTGATTTATACCCCTTCCAAAGAAAAAAATCATCTTGAAGCATTTCCAAGAGCGGGTTAGCCTCTGCTCTGCTCAGCCAGCCCTTTTTGGCGTTTATGACCCTGCCGCTCACCTAATCTGCATTGTGCTCAGCTGGCCTCCCTGCAGAGGCCAACCCGTGCGGTGTTATCCCAGGGGAACTCAGGGGAGGGGAAGGGAATGCTCTGCTAGGGCTCTGTGCATGAGCTCTTATCTGACGCAGAGCAGTTATTGGGAAACAGCTGAAATATCCACCCTTGGTAACGGGTCCCACTGCCTGCACAGGGAAGATAAATAGGAAAAGCAGCTACACTGTTAACGTGGGAAAACTGCCTGTCTTCCAGCACGGAAAGGCTAAACAAAGATCTTACCTTATGTAATGCTTCTACCACTCGTACCACGTCATAAAATATCACAACAGTCTCTCGCTCGCTGAGTCTCTTCTCTTTAATGACATAATGCTGCAGATTGATGAGATCTGCTGTTTTATCGCTGAAATCATGGGCACAGAGACAGTCTAACACAAGACAAATGCGCTTCTTCATTTTTCTGACCATTCTGTTGGCTTCCAGATCTTCTATAATTTCACAAGCTCGGTCCTACAGGGAGACAAAGAAATGAGCAATAGTCTTGGGATGCCACCTGGGTGCACGTAGCACATTTAAGGAGAGCGCACTGGAAAACAACTACATGCTAATCCCAAAATAAGCAAATATAGCCAGAGTTTAAACTCTATCCTGACTTGGGGTTTCAAAAACAAGGCACAAAATCTCCACTTAAAGAATTCAAAGAAAGCTTCGTGCCTACAGTTCAATAATTATATTGACATATAGCACTCTGTGGTAGAGAATCTTTGAACACCAGGAATCAGGAAACATTAACAATAATGAGAAGAAGAAAATCTTAATCAAAACCAATTCTTTCATAACATTAAAAGGGCACCACCAGACTGGACCTATGATTCATTATTATCTAGATGGCATTGGACAAAAATCTACTGACAAAAGTTAAATATCAAGCAATGAAACGACAACATGCAAACTGGTAACTCCTACAGGGCCCATTACACTCCAAAAGCGGCTCGGAAGGGGCCGTACCTGAAAGAGCCCGTGATGATGAACCACTCCTTCCTGGTTGTGGAGAAGGGAAAGCAGAGAATACTCTGTGTGCAGCAGCATCTTGCCTTGTCGTTCTTCCTGGGTTTCTATTCCTTTATCACCCCTTTCTTCTAAGGTCAGAATCTTCAGGAAAAGAGAAAAAGACTTTCACAACTCCCAGGAAAAGTCAGATGTCTGCAAACTTCCAGAACATTAAATAGCAGCTGAATATAATTACTCTAATATTTATATACATGCCACAAACCCCTCTGAACTAACACTGGTGCAGAAAGCATAGCACAAAGTCGATTAATGCACAGAAGCCCTTGGGTGGCTTTTTGCACATACCCCAAGATTGTTCCCGCTGCTGCTGCCACTGTTTTGAAGTGCCCTGATTAGGAGAGAAGACTCCAGGATACCCACGCACGGCCCCATGAGAACAGCAGCCACCCAGGTCTTGTTTCAAAGGTAACATCAACACTTCATCCACGCCTGGCAGAGTCGCTCGGCGAGGGGAAGGTTTAAACAGACATTCCTGGAGTGCCCCAGCCCGGTCTACAAATTCCAAGCAGTCCGATATGGGAGCGAGAGTTAAATGAGGTCTCCAGATCTGCAGCTCTTGCACTGCACTTACCTTGAGCTGGTAGAAGTCATCTGTCCCATCTTTTCTTGCCAAACACTGAACAATACTTGGCACAGGGGAGTTACCTAAACGTGGACCTAAGAGCACAAAGCAAAAACAGACTTGTTTTCCTTTAAGCAGCAATGACTAATTCAGTGTTACATCAGTTTAAGCGTCACCCAGATTACATGAGTTTAAAACAAGTTCCCTCTTTCTCAGAAGGCTAAGCGTTGTTCCATAATTTGTATTTATCTAGAGAAAAAAAAATACTGAATTCTGAAAGCTTTCTGAACAAGGTCTCATTTTTCAGTGGAGAGAAATTTAGCAAAATAAAATGTTCTGTCCAGCTGGTTTTAGAAATACAAATTTCTGCATGCTTGAGCCACGTGGCTCTTGCTTTTACTAGCAACATCCATGGTAAAGAGTTCTTACCAACCCTCTGAACCTAACTGCTGTCTCTGCAGGAGCTACTCAGAGACACTGATTAGTCCAAATTTTAAGTTAACATCAAACTCTACAATTCAGCTTAAGCCAATCCGTTTCTAACTGATTATCCACTGTTTTCACCTGTGAAGCTGATCACGTTTTTAGCACTTTATACAGCCAGTTCTGACCTAAAAGCAATTCTCAAAAGTCAGCTCAGCTGCCTTGCCCTGCCACGTATCCCTGGTAATGCCATACTGCATTAAGTTGTCTGCATTGTGATTTAACAGTATATTCCACTGAAAAATGATTGAATATATCCCCAGGGCCCTCTGAATTAACTTGCTTTTAAACAAAGTTTTTTTTTTTTTCCTCTTTTTACATCTATAAAGAGAGGCTAATATAGAACGCCTTCCTCACTTACCTAGGATAAAAGGGCCTGCTCTCTTGGCATTGTTTCCAGAAATCCCTGGACAAAGGGCTTTTGCCTTAGTGGATGTTTCCCCAGCTCCTCTGTCTGATGCTCGCCGCTTCATCCTTGGCTCTTTAAAGAGAGACAAGACCATATTTTGATGAGCAACTGAGTTCATTTCCTTTTACTTAATTACGTATTTACAGTGTGGGCACTTTAAGGTGCATGCAGAGAACACTTCAGTCCATCAGAGCAGGATCTCGAGCTTTGCACCAAGTATTTTTTCTCAAGCACACACATCCCACTCCAGTCCTACAGCATGAATAACTAAAAGTACAAGTAATTTCTGCTTAGTGAAAGTTAATCTCATTTCAAACACGCAGGAGCCTTCCACTGCTCTCAACAATTTGATCACATTACTGCAAACCCAATGCTTCCAAGTCCAAATTTATGTCTCAGTCACTATAATACCTCTTCCCCAAAGAAAAGCCTTATTTCATTTCAACAGAGAAAACCTTGTGTTCGCTGAAAAGCCACCCCTCTCACAGGGCAGGTTTACTGCTGGCATAAGGCAGCTCCAGCAGCAGACTGAGCTCATTTCTCATACACTTTTATAAACTGGAAATCAGCTTCAAAGACTCACAAATATCTATCATTAAGTGCTCCAATGTTTCTGTTGAAAAAAAGGCACACATCCACTTTCTTACTCAGAGCAAGTCAAAATCAAGCCCCGGGAATTTTTCCTAAAACATTCCTACAACAGACCGGAAAAAAACATTGTCTGTTATACTTCTCCTGTTTAAAAAAATGCATTTCACAAAGTAAGAGACCAATAAAGAGATTTATTGGAAGTTCATCTTCCAGTAGTTCCACCCTTTTTATGGACACTTCGGTGATCTCATTGCACCAATTTACCCAGCAGCATCTGTCACCAAGATCATCAGAAATAACAGAAGAGGCGAGAAGTCTTAACAGCAGACTTCACATCCATGTTCTCCTACAATCTATCAGCAGTTCGGATATTTGAAAGAAAACGTATTATCAGGTCCAATTAGCTAAACATAAGAAAAACTGGAGCTCCATATGCTCCTCGTTCTGTTTATTCTGCATCCCTGACATAATATTTGATTGCACTTTATCAAAGTCTCCATTCCTTGCAACATAATCATTCCTGATGGAAATACATGAGTAAGATTCCCACTGCAGAAAACCCACTGCATAGAAACTCTGAGATAATAACTGTTGTGCAATGCGAGCTGGATAGGGAACTATGGTGCAAACAGCGTTATCGTAAACAAAATAATCTGAGGACTCACGTAGTTCAGCATCAACTGTATCTTTACTCTTCTTCCAAACTAGGTTTTCCAACGTCTCAGGAGACAGGAGGCATCACCTTGGAGAAGGCTGGATGGGCGAAAGCTCGAGGACCCTGTAATGTGAAATGAGATGCACTTGATGCTGGGGTTCTGGATTATCCTTGATTACGATAACGTGGTATGCACCAAAACTGCAGCTGGAACAGGTGTTTGTTTGGGCTTAGAAGGTCTCCAGCGCCTGATCTCACACGAGAGAATGAAACTGCCTTGATGTTTAGTCACCAACGAGTCATGGACGCACGGCCATGCCCAGCAGGACACACAGACACCAGGGATCTCCAGCAGCGCTTGCCAGAGGGAGACGGATCTTTGGAGCAGAAAGAAACATGAGCTACACTGCAGTTTTCATCCCCTTGTTCACAGCCTGACTGCACTTTAAATATGACAGGAATGGCATCCAGCTATGAACAGAATCTTCAGTACTAGAAGCAATTTTGCATCACTGTCCATGTTAATGCTTGCGGAGCCTTGCTCGTTGGGATGAGTCCAGAGCTAGGAAACACCAACTGCTAACAGAAACAAACAGGTCTGCAAGGTTCCACGGTTACGGGGGATGAAGCATCTCCAGGAAGGAGGATCACAGAAAAAAAGTGACCGCGAGAGGACCTGGTACCTGAAGCAGCAGCCCAAGACAGCAACAAGAAGCTGCCACGGTCACCGCGATGCTGGGAGCGAGCGCGGAGCCGGGGGCGGAAGGGGCCGGGCGGGCAGCAGGCGCAGCTGCCGGGACAGGGACACGTGAGTCACCTTCCCGGGACACTCCTGCTGGCTGCAGGTTGTCACCAGCTCCAGCCCAGCCTGAGAAGGAGGCGGCTCCGCAGCAAGACCGGCGCAGCTCCAGGTGTGGGATTTCACCCAGATACCCATGAGACACTCGTCTCCCACTCCCTGCAGGAAAAGACCCGTCACCTCACACAGGATTTTTGCCCACCTTTCTTTTTCGGAGGCAAAGGCGGTAATGCTGCTCACAGCTCTGCTCGGCACCACAGCTCAGCTTCGAGCTCTGTTTCGAGCGCGAGCTGGGGCAGAGGACCCCAAACTTCCGTGTGTGGCACCTGCGGAACTGTCAGCACCATCGGGCACCTCGGTGACCGCTCCTGTGCGGCCCCTGCTCTCACCTGGGCTCCTCAGGGCTGACTCTCCAGCTGCTTCCCGAGCCCGGGCGCCAACACCGAGTTCTTGCACAAAAAGTTTTCAGCCCAACTCACTTTCTCCTCAAAAATAAACTGCTGCACAGCAGCAGTAGCTCTGAACCTACAGGCGCTCTGCAAGTCGTAAAGGAAAACCAAGAATGCCATAAAATGAAGAGGTCAGACTGTCCAAAGAGCCAAGGGGACAAAATGATCGATGCGCAAAACGACCGAACTTGCAGAGACCCCAAGAGGAGCCTCGGCTCAGTAATAACCAGCTTAAGCCCGAGGTGTGAACGAGGTGCAGGTGTCCTCTGGGAGGACAGGGCGCTGGGGGATCCCAACAGCCCCAGCACATGCCCAGCTGCCGCCCAGCTCCATCCTTGCAGACAAGGAAAGCTCCCGGAGGCCGAGTGAGAGGAAATGCCCTCTCAGCCCCACCGGCCAGCAGGGGAAATTCCGGAGCGCAGGATTCCAGCGCCGTCACCACAGCACCCATACGCAACACGGCAGGCTTCCTCCGAGCCTTCCCATACACCAACACGTCGGAGCGCCAGGACTCATCCTTGGGAGTTCCCTCCTCGCTTGCACAACCAGCGACTCGAGCTTAACCCTCTCGTGCTCGTGGGCGGGCGGCATCCACAGGGCAGGAGCGGGGCACCCTCGGGAGCAGCGTGGGGTGCTTGGGTTCCCGTCAAGCCACGGCTTAAATCGCTACCTGGCGGGACCTTCATTGCAGTGGATCCTGTTCCGTGTTTATAGCTTACATTACCTGGTACGTTCGGCATCGTAAGCTCGCTGCAGCAGGGCTCGCTCGGCGTGGCCAAAGATTACTGCGTGACTCACGTGCTGACACTTTTCCTTTACGGCAAGAGGCGCCTCCTGCTCTAAACGCAATTTACTATTTCAGCCCTAACTAACTACACAAAACAGAACATTTCAAATGACCTACGTGTTTGTTCCGTGCTACCGCACTGACGGTACCGCCACACGTGCCCCAGCAGCACGCCTGACACGAGACCCAAAAGGCATTCACGGCGCCGAGCAGAAGAGCCGTTCAGAGCGAGGCCGGCTCCAGGCACCGAGGCTCGGCAGCGGGCAGGAACGGGGCGCGAGCGGGAACCCGTGTCCCGCTAACAGCAGCGCCAGGTTCGCGGCCACGGGGGCTCGGGCACCGGCAGGGCGGCCCGCGGCCGGGCCCGTCCCCGCGGGCCCCGCGCGCTGC